ATAAATGTTTATTAATTGAAGGAGAATTATAAATTAATATCAAATGACATTTCTATAATCTATTTATATCTATAGTAACTATAAAGAAAGAGTAAAAAAATTTAAATTTAGAAAGATATTTTTTCTTTAATTAGGTTATTAAAATTTTAAATTTGTAATTGAAAATTTGAACTTATTTCAATTTACCAATGTAATATATATATTAAAATCTTTTAGTTTTATACAAATTTAAGATTTTTGGATGAGTGAAAATAGATGACTAAGATTAACAATAGAAAATGAGAAAATATTAACTTAAAAAAACAAAGAATAAATCTTAGCTATTTATTTTTACTCATCCAACGGTCCTAAATTTGTATAAAACTAAAGAATTTTATATTGTATAAGTGAATTCTAATATAATATATATATATACAAAAATTATGACTGTGTTTTTTATTTTATTGTTTTTATTATAGTTATAAACATAACAAATGTTATTAGGGTCATTGTCAGTTTCGCCAGTAATGATTTTTTTAAAGGAATTGATTTTTATAAAAAGGAGCTGATTTTATTTATTTCTTTATTAAATAGATAGAGGAACAATAGCAGAAATAGTGGCCTGTCACTGTCGTAATTAACCGCTACCAGTTAAATTACAGTTGCAATCCGTCGCTATTAGTGCGATTTCATTTTACACCAATATCTTCCGTAATAACGGTTTTGGACGTTCTCTCTACCGCTATATAGTGATTGCTATTCTATTGCCCAACCGCTATTTGAATTCCTAATTCTGACAAAAGCAATCTCCTTTATCTGCTCAGACATTAAAAATCATGGGGAAAATTGAGCAAGAAAGATCAAAATGGGTTTCCAAAACATAAAACATTGATGTATTTGATACAAACTCAGAGAATGGAATTACATGCCTATGCTACTCCATCATGCAAATTGCTATGAAAAATATCTTGCGACTCTTTGTACTATAGATTTATAAGTAAAACTGAGCAATTCAGTCCTTATACAATTAATTTCGAAACAAATAGGTACAATCAAACAATAAAAAATGTTGACTCGACGTATTCTTAACAGGTTAAGTCAAGCTTTCTTTACCTGAAAATTAAACATACATGGACTAAATTGCTCACTTCTTATAGTAGATGGATTAACAGGGACTCACCTCTCAAATGGATCTAGAGAAAAGTTCAAAGCCACAACAGAACGACACTCGACTCGCTAGTACTGTGTTTTCCAAGTCTCTCTTTGTTTCTAGTCCTCTAATTGTTTAACTACAGCTCCAAAATATGGCAGTTCCTAACAAAATCATTGAAATAGTTGACATAATTGGTCCAAAATTGCCGGAGATTCTCGATGCTGATAGGCAACCATGGTTTTAACTGACCATTATAATTAATAACGACCACCTTTTTCACGTTCTCGACGTCGGTCTTTCTTTGGTAGCCTAAGCCAAGCATATGCCATGATGAATCAATTGGATGGATATGGCTTTTAAATGCAATTAAAGAAGGTGGTAGAGTTCCAAGCTTCCACATTGTCAAGTTTGAAATCAGGTTCCGAAGAAAAAGAGTGTAGTTTACCAACAAGTTCGAATCTATTTGCGAACCTTAAAGAAAATCGGTATCTAATAAGTTACCTTTTTAAACCAAAAATGATATGTTTCCGTTATATTCGTCTTCCTCCAGACACGAAGATAAATATATTCATGCCATAAGCCCATGCACATTCATTAGGATCAAAATGCTTTGCTATAATGGGATGGGAGAAATTGAAGTAGTTTCCGAAATGTTTGGACATCACCCATTCACCTTCACCTTTACAAGTTTCAACAGATCCGTTAACTTTTCCATATAGATCGATCTCCCAAAGAGGAAACATATCATGCTGAATTACAATATCGTCATCTAAAATTATCACTTTGTTGAGGTCATGAAAGAGCTGTTCGAAATGCATAACCAGAACATATATTTAGAAGGGAAAAAACACTGTAATAACTAACATTGTAGTAGAGATAACTAGTTACCTCAGACAAATATATCCGAAGATGGTTAAGGATATATACTTTGGACTTCGATCCTTCAATGTAAAAGCGGATTTTCGAGTATTAATATTAGAGAGATTTGCCTCTGTAATTTTGAAAAGTCAGACTATGTTTCGGTGCTTTAAATGCACCGAAACAAATTGTCAAAAATGTGCAGCTATTATTGAAAGGTGGGAAGGGTAAAGTTGTCAATTAGTCCCCTAGACTTTAGGGTATTTATAAGATTAGTCCTTTAAGTTTCAACTATAAATACTCTAACCCGTTTAGTTTCAAAATTATCTCAAATCATTTCTTTCTCCCAATACTAGAGAGTTTTCTTGTGAGTAGTGAGTGTTTTGTAAACACCTGCAAATTTTCTCTCTTTAGTAAAAGATCTGCAGTAGTCCGGAGACGTAGGAAAAATTGGTTGAACTCCGTTATTAATTTCGGGTATTATTTTTCCACTTTTATTTCGCATTCTCACTAATCTGGTTATAGGAAAATTAATCAGTTATTTCCCAACAACTGGTATAAGATCTTTTGGTTGTGAATTTTGTGTCAGTTTTTTCTACGAGCTTACTATTCACATAAATAGTGAATTTTGTGAATAGTAAAATTTTATCGGCGATACGAGTTTATCGACGGAGGTGTTCTAATACACGGTTGTTTGTGGGAATTGTCAGAAATGATCCAAAAGAAGCCAGATTCGAATGGGAGCAATGGCTTTGAGAAACGAAGTTGATGAGCTCAATAGGGAGCTGCTCATATGCAAGGGAGCAATGAGTGAATGGGATGAGCTCAAGACCTTCTTGGAAGGACTTAGACTAGGGGCGATGCTCAGGGGAGAGCAAAATGATGCCCAGAGACTTTCGGAGGTCATAGCTGTAGCCGGAAAGTTGACTGAGCTTGTAGGTGACAAGCCAAGTAGCGATGTGTCGCCCAGGCCTATGCCCAGAGATAGTGGCAACAGTGGTAGAGACCGAGAAAATGTGCAGCAGGGAGATGGTAGAGAAAGCTCTTCGAATGGCCAAGGTGTGTCATCGACTGTTTGTAGCCAAGGAAAGCCATCGGGAAAAATGGCAAGGCTAAGTCTTGTGTAAAGAAGAATGGGAACAAGGAAAAATTGAAGTGTTACTTCTGTGATGGTCCTCATTTGATTAGAGGATGTCCCGAGAAATGTCGCCTTACATCTATCATGAATAGGATGAGAGAAGGAGAAGTAACATGAATTGGCGTGATTACAAGTGTTAAAGCTACCAAACCAGGGAAAATAGTTGGTTCGATTGATGGGATCAATGCGGCCAAGCAAGGAACGAGTCGAGGCAAGGTTGTTGGTGTTGAGACAGTCAAACCCAGAAGAAAGTCTGATGTGATTGCGAGTGTCCAAGCAATCAACTCAAGAGCAAGACTTGGTGATGCTACATATTCCAAAGTAGCCGAATCAAGGGGCAAGCATGGTTCGATACAAGTTCTCAAGTAGTCAGCCCAGGATCAAAACGTGACGAGACTGTAGGTGTTAAAGTAGTCGAGCACAAGAAGGGACCCGGTGCGATAGCAAGAGATAAAGTCGTCAAGCCGAGGGTGCAGAGTGAGCAAGTCCGCTCACAGTATGCCAGGATGGAGGCGTGGTCTAAGTTGAGGCGTCTCGGGCATAAAGGGACACTTAAGGAGTATGTGAGCCGATTTAGAAGACTCATGCTCAAAGTCTCAAGTTTGACTGAAGAAGATGAGTTCTTCACCTTCATGTTCGGATTAAAGTCATGGGCAAAGAAAGTGTTAAAGCAAAGGGAAGTCAAGGAGTTATCCAAAGCCTTGACAATCGTTGAGTCCATCAAAGAATTTAGAGTAAAAAAGAACAACACTTCCAAAGCAAAGCCGAAAGTCGAGGATAGCGACAAGAGATTCTGTGATGAAGGCAAGTCAGAGGATGAGGAATATTGTTCCTCGAGTGGTAGAAAAAATCCACTCAATGATGAATCAGATGGTGAGTCTGGGGAAGATGTGTGCAATCTTGGCACAAGTTCGAGTGTCAAAGATGCTAAGTCGAGAGTAAGAGACGAGCAAACGAGGGAGCGCAGACTTAAGATGCCAGAAGTGTTACAAAATTACCCGAGGGGATAACCCGAGGGGAGTCGAGTCATCCAAGGTAATGGATGAGCCCAAGATCGAGTTGTCCAGAGAAGAGGACGAACACATGATTGAAGAGGCGTTGAGAGTTGGCTCAATAAGGTTCATTTTTGCCAAGGCGAGTAGAAGCCAATTGCACGAAGAGTTGTCCATCTCCAAGGAGTTTGTCGAGCATGTTCGTGTAGAGAACATGGCTTCAGAGACCATATTAAGAGAGAAGGGCCGAAGCAGGGGCTTGCCGAGGATGTTCAAGTGAGGAATAATCCTTCAAAGACTAGTGGACAATAGTCAAAGGGAGGCAAGACATTGAGGGACAAGGCAACCACGGAGAAATTGCCCAATAACAAGTGGGTTTACAGGACGGTGACTACGGACAAACTGAAGTTGTGTTCAGCTTCAGTTGGCATGCTAGACTAACAAGACCAGAAATGCTGCTGCATTGATCGATGTGTGAAGACAGATTATAATCAGTCTTCAAGTGGGAGATTGTTGAAAAGTCAGACTATGTTTCGGTACTTTAAATGCACCGAAAAAAATTGTCAAAAGGGTGCAGCTATTGTTGAAAGGTGGGAAGGGTAAAGTTCGCAATTAGTCCCTAGATTTTAGGGTATTTAACCTTTAAGCTTCAACTATAAATACTCCAACCCATTTAGCTTCAAAATCATCACAAATTATTTCTTTCTCCCAATACTAGAGAGTTTTCTTGTGAGTAGTGAGTGTTTTGTCAACACTTGTAATTTTCTCTCTTTAGTAAAAGATCTACAGCAGTCCGGAGACGTAGGCAAAATTGGCTGAACTCTGTTATCAATTTCGGGTATTATTTTTCCGCTTTTATTTCGCATTCTCACTAATATGGTTATAGGGAAATTACTCGGTTATTTCCCAACATGTAATATGACTTCCGTGATAGAAATTTTTTGTCTTTATGGTTCTCTACATCTTCTAGCAAAGGAACGATCTCTCTAGTCAACCAATCGAATTGATGAACACCTTTCACTTTAACTATGGCGGGTGATACAGGGTTTAATGCAAACCAAGAATGCATACTTGCGTATGTTTTCTTGTCTGTGATGATGATGTGGAAGACAATCTTGTCGGGTTGTAGCGATGATTCTATAGCGGAAGTAATGATCGAGGCAGCCAATATGTTGTCTGTTGACAGGATAAAATGGTGGTAAGACTTGTTAGAAACCACAGGAAGAAGCCCGGGAGTAGGCAGTTGTCTACGTGAATGAGCATTGGAAGAATATTCATTCGTTAAACGCAGAGAAAGACAATGAATTCCTCTGGGGATGGAACTCACTACAAAGTGTTTGTTCATCAACTCTGAAAATTTAGACTCCCTCGTGTCTCTTTTGAGTTTTTCTACCATTGCTCTTAACATTAATGCAAAGGTCTTTGCATCATATTGGTTGTTCATTTCAGAAACAAGTTGTATAAATGAATCCGGAAGCTTTACACCTTCTGGGATTTTCTCTCTGTTTACTTGATTCAGGGTCTCATACAAGTCCCTAACTAGTATTTGTTGAACCATCACTGGTACCACAAAAGCAATCAATTCATCGTTAATATTTTTTCACCATAAGACAAATCCATAATACATTTTACATTACCTTGAGAATATGATACTTACTTCCGAATCATCGACTCTCCCGAGAAGCCTTGGACCTAAGCGTCTACCTAAACAACCTGTGCAGGGTAGAACAACAAGAAGAATAAAAAGCCATGGACTCAACGAGTTCGTCATGGGAAAACAAAAGGCAAAACAGAGGAAAAAGTATACCAATCTAGTAAGGTAACTCAAAATGCAACAACGAAAACATATCAATCGATTTAAGGGTCAACACCAACACACACTATATTGTCATTAGGGGTCAATAATTTAAGCTAATTTGCATCATCCACAAACTGAATCAAATTAGCATGAATCCGAAATATGTGGCATTTTAGTATCCAGCGAATCAAATGAAAACCAAAAATACACATTCAGTGATAATTAGGATAACTAAGATTCCAATAAATACATATAATGGAACTAATATCAAAGTAGCTCTCACCCCACTAAATGCAAAAGAAAAAGAATTGAGATCAAATCCAGTGAAGATATTGTAGAAAACATAGTAAAGAAAAGCAAAATTCACCAACCAAAACATATTAATCGATTCAACAACGAAAAATATTATCATGGACTCAACGAGATCATCATAGGAAACAAAAGGCAAACAGAGGAAAAAGTATACCAATCTAGTAAGGTAACTCAAAATGCTAGGGTGAACACCAACAAACACTATATTGTCATTAGGGGCCAAGGCAATAATTGAAGCTAATTTGCATCATCCACAGACCGAGTCAAATTGGCTTGAATCCAAAAATGAGACATTATGTATCAAGTGAATCAAATGACAACAAAAAATATACATTAAGAGAGTGATAATTAGGATAACTTAGATTCCAAGAAATGCCTATAATGAAACTAATATCAAAGTAGCTCTCAAGTCTCACCCCATTAAATGCATAACAAAAAGAATTGAGATCAAATCCAATGAAAATATTGTAGTAAAATAGTAAACAAAAGCAAAACTATAGAAATTAACAAGGGTACCAAATGAGGAGCACTTGTCGACACCTTCAAGAGTGAAGAGGGCGGTGAGAATGAAGATAAAAGGTAAGAAGAAATCGAGGATCAGAATGGTATGGAAAAGGGTTCTATACGATATATGTGTAGCAGCCACCGTGATCTTCATCAAGTCAATAAACACATTGTTATTCGATATGGTTATAACTCTCATGCTAAGCGACACTTGAAGCTGCATCCTTGTGTATGCAGCCCAACTACAGCTAAACAAATCTTCTCCACTGTCTCCAAAACACCACCACCTCTCTTGTAATTCTCGAAATGTTCAATGGTAGCTCTTCCACAATACCTCTCTATGGTCTTTGCTACACCCAATTCTAGCCCCACCACCATCGAATCCAATCTTTTTTAAAAACTTTCCTTTTTCTTGGTCTTTCTAACAAACACCTCCACTGCATTGGTCTGGATGTTTAACAATCACCAAAAATATGGGTTTTCTTCTTCTTCTTCACCCATTTTGTATCAAATTATCAGACTTGGGAGGTTTTGGAAATCTGGGTTGTGTTCTTTAAGCTTTAGTTTTGTTATTTTTGGCCCTCCAATGGATCAAGGATTGAACTAAAAGAGGAAAAAAAGGGAATTCTTTTTTTTTCGTTAAGAATTATTTCATGTTGGATTATAATTTCTTTAGAATAAAAAACATAAATTATTTAATCTTTAACAAAACGAGAGAAAGAGATGAGCTTGATTTGAATTTTGAGTTTTATATGTGGTGTTTCCCATGCTAGATGTAATGATTTGAGTTATATGTAATGTTTAGTGGATATAAACAATTACGAATATCGTTAAAATGGATATAAAAAATATCGAAAATAAGTTTTCTATACTTTATTTTTGTGTTTTAAAATATTTCATGAAACTAACGAATTAAATAATGTGGCGGGTTACATGATACTCTTCTATGATGTTTGTTATACTTTCCTAAATCTTCTTCACATTTTAGGACCTTTGTATGATCTTGAAGGATATCTGAATCTTCAATTTCTCTTTGTCTTTTGAGAAATTTTAAAAAAAATGAGAAGAACATCTTCAGAAGAATAATCTCAAATTTCTAACATTACTTAGGAAGTCACGAAAATCTTATGTAACCTCTGATTAGTCTACATGACCTGTTATAATCAAATATACTGTCAACTAACCATATTCACTTAACCTGTCAATCTACAAGTATTAATAATAATCATATGTCTATCACTGACTACAAGGGTTATTATAAAATCTCTCGATCAAAACCGAGAGAAGATAAAACCCCCTTTTCACTCATTTATTTCTCTTCTATGTCCATAAAGAGATAGAAGATTTTGACGTCGGTAAATAATCGTCTAATCATCGACTGTGACTCTCTGTCTAAGCGAAAAGGTTGAACTGCCTTTAGTCGTCATGACCTATTTATTCTCATAAAAATTAGTGTGGTCAGCGTAAAACACCTCCTATCAAACGCCAAAATGCACCCACAATAGCCAATATCATCTCCAATTTTCCTCATATAATCTTTCGCAACGTATTTTGTTATCTTTGATCGATATCTGCAGATTCGAGTCGTAGAGCTTGTATGTGCGGGAGAAGATCCCTCAAAAGATAACGAGGATGAAGTGATGCAATTTGCTTACCCAAATCACTCTTCGTACGAGCGTTGAAAAACTAGCATGATGCCATCAATCTCGGAACCTGCTAAGCATGTTCACCAAGAAGAGACGAGTGTTGTTGCCATGGATGCTCGCCTTGACAGTATCAGAGGAAGCTTCAAGAGAAAATCAACAGAGTGAGCGAGTGATGCCCAAAAGTTGATAGAAGAAGAAGTGTTCTTGGATGACACCCCAACTACTATCTGATAAATAACCCTGTAAATTAATTAACTTTAAGCAAGCATTGATTGACTAATAATTGCAGGAGTTGCTTCTTTAGTAGCTTCAGAGGCAGCTTTAAAAATGAATGGAGCCTCATCTTGGAAAGTTACGCTAACCTTATAATGGTAGAAAAAACTCCTCAGCCACTCCTCTAAAAATTGAATTCAGTAAGTCACAAAAATAACCTTAATAATCTTTGTGTGGTTAACAGAAATGAGAGTTGTCTCCCGATTAATCTTACGAATGAAAAAATTATTTTACGAATAAAATTGTATTTCCCCCCTCGAATCTCTCAAGCTTCTTCTCTCTCGTTCCTATTTTCCATAACTCAAAAATCACAACTTGTGACAAAATATAATTAAAATATAAAATATAAAATATAATTTTGAAAGAAATAAAATAAAATCTATTAAAGGAGCGACTTATCATACCCCACTTTAACAGCACATTTCTATTGACCCCAATTTCTACTTAACATTGTATCTATTTACGTTAAATTTTAAATTTTAAAGTCTAACCTAAACTATTTGCTTATTGTGATGAAAAATCCTATCGATTTATTATTGTGTTGGATTTTATTTCTCTCTGTATTACAATAATCGAAAATATAATAATATTAAAATTTAGGTGAAAATTTTAAAAAAAGAAAAAAAAAGATAATGTTGAAATTATAAAAAAGTTTTCAATTTTACCGAGACTTAATAAGTAATTTTAATCATTATTACCAATTTATAAGTTAATTATTTAATGAGAAAGAAATTTTAAATTACAAGAAGTATTATCCGAATAAATTCTTAGTCATAATCAAACACTAATAAAAAAAATATACTTTTATACGACCATAAGTTCAAAAAGATCCATACTTGAAGCTTAATTAATTATATAGAACATGTTTTGATGCTAATATAAATGAGTTCTTATTCAGCTTTTGTATTGAACTTATAGAAGTTCAATTATTACAATGTTTTCCCTGCATAGGAATTATAATATGGTAATAACAAAGAGAGCACAGGACAGCTCTTATAGTTGAAAATGTCAATCTTGGCCAAACTATGGTAATTCCACAGGCTTTATGTTCCAAATCTCCCTGGCGTATTCATGGATTGTTCTGTCACTGCTGAACTTGTAAGAACCAGCAGTATTCATGATCGACATTCTTGTCCATCTCTGCCGCATACATGCCAATAAATACAGATTCAGGGTTTGCGATGTAATGTAAGAGAAATAAAAATGTTACTCACTTTTTGGTCTTTATATGCTTCATCCACCTTTGCTTGGCAGTCTATATAACTAGGGAAGTCTTTGCCCACAAGGAAATAGTCTGCACGACCGAAACCTTTGTTTCCTTCTAATGATCCCAGCAGTTCATCGTAGCTGGAGGAACCGAATACACCGCTTCTCACAAACTTTTTAACTTCTTCAAACCGAGGATCTGGGATGAACTGCAGGAAGAATGTCAACTAGGTCAATGAAGGGAGAAAGGAAAACCAGTAATGTGACCATGCAAAGCATACCTTCCCCTACCTTCCCCTCGGCTCTTTCTTTCCGAAGCCCCGCAATCTCGTTAGCTCTAGCCCCGAAGAGGAAAAAGTTGTCTTCTCCAACTTCTTCTCGTATTTCGACATTGGCACCATCCAAGGTCCCAATCAGAATGCAACCGTTCATTGCAAATTTCATATTGCTGGTTCCACTTGCCTCCATCCCAGCAGTACTGCATAAAGGGAAAAAACAACATAAAACTGAGAGAAATTCAGATGCCCCAGTGTCAACTCTCTGATCAAATTGTGATATAAGCCTCCCCAGTAAAGGCATATATCGAGCTCATTTGGAAATCTGAGAAAACATGGGATCCATTTTTATGTCAAAACCACAAGAGCTTGAGCTCGATTAAGCTTCATGCATTGAAATCGAGCCAATTAAATATAAAATAACTAATGATAGCACTTCATCAAACAGACTGAGCATAGGCTTCCCCAAGCCATATCCTTTAACAAGTGGGAGCTAGGAAACTTTCTTGCTTCCTATGTTCCTTAGACTCGGACCTGCAGGACAAAAATTTTATGTCCGGGTCTGGCACAAGCTATAATCAACATTTTAAAGTAGTTTCATGAATTTAAGGGTCATATCATCAATCCCGTCTGAATATGCATCAGATATGTAAAGAATTATCCTTAAAATGAATAAAATTGAAATACCTGATATGTTGTGATAGCTCACTTGCAGGGATAAGCAATTCAGCCACACTCACATTGTAGTCCGGAACAAAAATAACCTTAAAATTAGAACGTGAACGTGATAAGAAATTTTGTCTGATTAGTGATATCAAAGAAATCAAGTAAATTATTAATACAAAAATTTCACAGAATGGAATTTTAATGGTGATAGCAGGGAAGAACACCATATTAAGTTTATGTATGATATTATGAAGTCAAAACATACCTTCAGCAAATCACCAATATCAGGATCATGATTAACTGTAGCCCCAACATCAGTAATGAATTTCACAATTCTCTTGGCTTGTACATAAGTGGCAAATGCTTTTCCCCCGAATATGCAAACACGTGGAACAAACTTTTTCTTTCTTTCTGAAGCACTAATTTCTTTCATCATCTTGTACCGGTAAACAATACCCAAAATGTTCAACAGCTGACGCTTGTATTCATGGATGCGCTTCACCTGAAATTCAATGTAGATTATGTAATCTTTGCTAGCATGATAAATTGTTTTAGCATATCTGATGATATGTACAGAGCTTTGGTTACTTTTTAGGAAAACACAATTGACAAGAGAAATTACCTGGATGTCAAACATTGAATCAGGGCTTACTGTATAGCCTGTCTTTTCTTTAATGAGGGATGCAACCTTTAATTTGTTGCTCCTTTTTGCGGCCCTCCACTGGGCTTGAAGATCGTCATTATCCGCAAACTATGAACATAGGCCACAACACCGATTAAGGTCAAGTGTAATAGCCAAAGGATTCAAATGTTCTCATATGTAAAGAAATTTGAATTAACCACAAAAATACCTAATCTATGAAATAACAACAAATATAGGATATAGGGGTGTACATAATTGGCAAAAAAATGAGACTAAATTCTACACAAGACAATCAGGCAGTTTCTTTTGTTGTGAAAGAAGCATTTTAGAAGGTATGTCCGATGCCGCTAGATTGTTGTTCATAAAAGTTGCTGAGTCATTATAATTGCTGGTCATTCACAGGTTGTAATTAAATTTCACTTCTATGAAACATACATAATGATAGTACAAGAAGTTTTACAAGAAAAAGAAAAGTTTCAGATATGGAATATTACCTTTCTAAGTTCAGATAACTTTTCAGTATTTAAAACC